TGTACATTTCTCATCAATAAAATATCACAGTATCTTTTTTATAATTTAATTTTAATATTGAGATTGTTTTTATTCAGTGGAAAAAAAATGTGTAGTTGGTCCCTATTAATTATACATACATATAAGAGTGTCGCACAAATAATTCTATGCAGTCTTTTTAAGATAATATAAAAATACTTATAAATATAATCAATTAAAATACATATAATCAAAATTGTATGTATTAAAATTCAATAGCATATAAAAAAGATTTTTTGAAATTATATATATATAATAAAAATCCAACATTTTATATATATATATATATATATATATATATATAAATATATATTTATTTATTGTATATCATAAATATATATTTATTTATTTATATTTACCTATCTTTTTTTTATATATATGGTAGAAATACAATGTATGAGTTATTTTATTTTGCAAAATTTTTGAAAGTTAAACTATTAATTACAATGAAATTATTTCATATAATACCGAGATTCTTTTCATAATAAAGATTAAGAGAGAGTTAGATTTTATCATAAGATTTATAAAAGTCATAAGATAAGGTTAATTGCATATTGTATAGTTTATCTCTCATTTTTTAAAGTAAATAAATATCAAAGTTACATTGCTTGAACTGGTGCGTTTGAAGTATGTTGTCTTTTTGAGGGATGCAAGACAATATAGTACAAAAGCATTGCTGTAATTCCCAAGAAAAAGGAAATGATACAAATAATAAAGATTATATTAAAGTACTAAGCCTCTTTAACTGCAGGAGAACAAGCATATTGCCATAATAAATTTGCTGCAATATTTTCAAAAAAGCAGATAACATAGAAAGATAGATGTTTTCAAAATGTTTTGCTATCTACAGCATTGAGATATATAAAAATGTGCACTATGCCAATAACGGAAGCAAATAATATGGAATAAATGCGTTCTTTAATTGTAGGCTGCATATGTGGTGGATGACTGCAAGTCCGACAAAATTCCAATATTCCATGGGAATCTATCAAAATCCATATTGTCATACTTAGCCAATGTATTACACAATATATTATGGTATATACAGGCCAGATGCTTGCAATGACACTGAGCAATAAAATCCTTGCCACTACAATCACAATGATAAAAATGATTAAATAGATTTAAAATAAATTTTTAAAAATATATTATTTTGATACAAATTGTGTGATGAATAATATTTAATTTTGTATATTAATTATTGGATATATATGTACCTAAAATAAGAAAATGCCAGAAAAATTGAATTTGCTTATTTATTTAAAGATGCTTATCATATACAAAAATGAATGATATAATCTCTAAAAACTCACCTTTAAAAAAAGGTAAAAAAAGGCGACCAGTTAAGGGCACGCCATTAACAAAAATTATCCATTGCAAACCCATGTACAATAGAATTGTATGAAAAATTATCGATTATAAACCCATGTACAATCGTAACAAAAGTAATAAAATAAAAAAAAATTGCGCCAAGTGAAAGTAGAAACTTGTACCAGTGGAAAATTAAAGTTGCAGACATATATAGAGTCGTATAATGAATCAATAAAAATTTAAATTTGCAAATGTAGAATTGTACCATAAAAAAACTTATCTTTTAAAAAAAAGATAAACAAGATGCCAAGTCCATGCGCCATGTGAAAAAGTGTTAAACAAAAAAGTATTTTTAAGTAAAAAAATCTATCAATTGACAAAAATTTATGTTCTAAAATTAATATCTCTACAAAAAGTAATGTCCAATTATTGCGCGAATAAATAAACATTTTTATAAAAAATTAAAATTTAAAAACTTATGCAAATTTAAAATTAATATAAAATAAAAAGAAATAAAAAAATTTTAGTTAAAAAAACTGGGCGCGCTGCTAAATAATATTCTAATGATATTAAATTAAATTGTTACTTTTAAACTCATTGCAGCGCGCCCAGTTTTTTTAACTAAAATTTTTTTATTTCTTTTTATTTTATATTAATTTTAAATTTGCATAAGTTTTTAAATTTTAATTTTTTATAAAAATGTTTATTTATTCGCGCAATAATTGGACATTACTTTTTGTAGAGATATTAATTTTAGAACATAAATTTTTGTCAATTGATAGATTTTTTTACTTAAAAATACTTTTTTGTTTAACACTTTTTCACATGGCGCATGGACTTGGCATCTTGTTTATCTTTTTTTTAAAAGATAAGTTTTTTTATGGTACAATTCTACATTTGCAAATTTAAATTTTTATTAATTCATTATACGACTCTATATATGTCTGCAACTTTAATTTTCCACTGGTACAAGTTTCTACTTTCACTTGGCGCAATTTTTTTTTTATTTATTACTTTTGTTACGATTGTACATGGGTTTATAATCGATAATTTTTCATACAATTCTATTGTACATGGGTTTGCAATGGATAATTTTTGTTAATGGCGTGCCCTTAACTGGTCGCCTTTTTTTACCTTTTTTTAGAGGTGAGTTTTTAGAGATTATCAAAGTTACATTGCTTGAACTGGTGCGTTTGAAGTATGTTGTCTTTTTGAGGGATGCAAGACAATATAGTACAAAAGCATTGCTGTAATTCCCAAGAAAAAGGAAATGATACAAATAATAAAGATTATATTAAAGTACTAAGCCTCTTTAACTGCAGGAGGACAAGCATATTGCCATAATAAATTTGCTGCAATATTTTCAAAAAAGCAGATAACATAGAAAGATAGATGTTTTCAAAATGTTTTGCTATCTACAGCATTGAGATATATAAAAATGTGCACTATGCCAATAACGGAAGCAAATAATATGGAATAAATGCGTTCTTTAATTGTAGGCTGCATATGTGGTGGATGACTGTAAGTCCGACAAAATTCCAATATTCCATGGGAATCTATCAAAATCCATATTGTCATACTTAGCCAATGTATTACACAATATATTATGGTATATACAGGCCAGATGCTTGCAATGACACTGAGCAATAAAATCCTTGCCACTACAATCACAATGATAAAAATGATTAAATAAATTTAAAATAAATTTTTAAAATATATTATTTTGATACAAATTGTGTGATGAATAATATTTAATTTTGTATATTAATTATTGGATATATATGTACCTAAAATAAGAAAATGCCAGAAAAATTGAATTTGCTTATTTATTTAAAGATGCTTATCATATACAAAAATGAATGATATAATCTCTAAAAACTCACCTTTAAAAAAAAGTAAAAAAAGGCGACCAGTTAAGGGCACGCCATTAACAAAAATTATCCATTGCAAACCCATGTACAATAGAATTGTATGAAAAATTATCGATTATAAACCCATGTACAATCGTAACAAAAGTAATGAAATAAAAAAAAATTGCACCTAGTAAAAGTAGAAACTTGTACCAGTGGAAAATTAAAGTTGCAGACATATATAGAGTCGTATAATGAATCAATAAAAATTTAAATTTGCAAATGTAGAATTGTACCATAAAAAAACTTATCTTTTAAAAAAAAAGATAAACAAGATGCCAAGTCCATGCGCCATGTGAAAAAGTGTTAAACAAAAAAGTATTTTTAAGTAAAAAAATCTATCAATTGACAAAAATTTATGTTCTAAAATTAATATCTCTACAAAAAGTAATGTCCAATTATTGCGCAAATAAATAAACATTTTTATAAAAAATTAAAATTTAAAAACTTATGCAAATTTAAAATTAATATAAAATAAAAAGAAATAAAAAAATTTTAGTTAAAAAAACTGGGCGCGCTGCTAAATAATATTCTAATGATATTAAAATTAAATTGTTACTTTTAAACTCATTGCAGCGCGCCCAGTTTTTTTAACTAAAAATTTTTTATTTCTTTTTATTTTATATTAATTTTAAATTTGCATAAGTTTTTAAATTTTAATTTTTTATAAAAATGTTTATTTATTCGCGCAATAATTGGACATTACTTTTTGTAGAGATATTAATTTTAGAACATAAATTTTTGTCAATTGATAGATTTTTTTACTTAAAAATACTTTTTTGTTTAACACTTTTTCACATGGCGCATGGACTTGGCATCTTGTTTATCTTTTTTTTAAAAGATAAGTTTTTTTATGGTACAATTCTACATTTGCAAATTTAAATTTTTATTGATTCATTATACGACTCTATATATGTCTGCAACTTTAATTTTCCACTGGTACAAGTTTCTACTTTCACTTGGTGCAATTTTTTTTTATTTCATTACTTTTGTTACGTTTGTACATGGGTTTATAATCGATAATTTTTCATACAATTCTATTGTACATGGGTTTGCAATGGATAATTTTTGTTAATGGCGTGCCCTTAACTGGTCGTATAACTTACATAACTATAATGCGATATACACCTACAGCTTGTCTGATTCTAATTTCACGCGTATAATTTCACCTGACACGCAACAGAACAAGACGAGCATGAGTGAATTTGCTTATAAGGAATGTCGCGACAATTAAAAACAAACGATGCCTTCCTTCATAAAATTATGATTAATAAAATGAGAAAACGAAATATAAAATATATATTTCTTTGTATTATATGATTTACAAAACATTTGCATTTAATATGATTTGAGGTGTCGAGTGATTTCACGATGGAGTTCGAAAATATTCAAGTGTTAACGGCTGAGAGCGCGTCTAAGTTTTATGAACTTTGGTGCAAAAAGCCAGATGCTTCACGTATCTGCAGAATGCCAGGCGTCCTCTAGGATGAAGCTGTAATTCCCATATTCAGGGAGCCACCTTTCAGAAGAAAGGCGTGGCGCATGAAACGAACCATCATACTTTCAGCCCTTCGTATATAAGTAGCGGTAAAAAATCCACCTATCAACAAGCTGAGTGTCGTGTGTGTGCCTATGCCAAGATAGGAAAAGGACGGTAAATATTATCCACAGGGAGGTGAAACACGGACACTATCATCCACCCCTCATTCAAGTATCTTACGATATCGGGGTTGGAAAACATGCGTGATGAGGGTTACTCACTTTCGCCAGGTCGACTACCTCTGGGAACGGGCGATGTATGATAATATGGTAACGTACTTCCGAAATGCATGTAATACCGTTTTTCACGTAATCGAAGCAAATTGTTTTCCAACCGAGAATAAAGATCGAAACACATATTTCAACAATTATTTCAATAATTGGATTAAATTTCTAATTTGGTCGAAATTATAAAAATAAATATTCAGAAAACATGTGACGAAAAAAATTAACATTTTTATAAAATTTCATAAAAAGATTGTGAACGAGTCTTAAAATTAAAATTACACTCTTATAAAATTTAGTATATTATTAAAAAAGTTTTTTTTTCGTTCGTTTTATATTAGGTACTCGAAAACTAAACATAATATAACTACGAAACACATAAATATACTCGTTCTCGTTCAAAATAACAAATCTAAAATAAAATCAATTGAGATATTTCTGTGTGGCGCACTCGACACAAGTCATTCAATTAATTATGGTTACAATGATGCAAGCTAAACTTAAACGTTCTCATGGTTTCTCACATATACGAGGCGACACAATAACGAGATTCAGGCTGTTTACTGTGACGAAATGTGTATGCGTCATACATGGATCTAAATCGAGAGAAGAGGACAATGAGACCGTTGTGTGCAATTTGGAAACACGCGCTCGTAGGGTCTCCCTTAGACCCTCTCGCTTTTCCTAGGAAGCACAATAATCCTTCTTCCTAGAATAGGCTCGTGCGACACGTGTGTGCAGCTTGCGAATAACCCTATCGTCGTCGTCTCGCGTTCGACAAAACCCAATCCCGGACCGATCGATCTCAATTACGTCGATCCCCAATGCTCTGCGGGCTCAAATGTGTGTAAATGTACAAAAAGCCTGATAAAAAGTAACGAGATAGTCGAACGTTTAGCACGTGTCATTAAAAGTAAATATTACGCTATATGAGCCTCATTAATAATAGCTCTCGCAATTTAACCCTTTCATTGTCGAAAATATTGAAAAGTGCCCGATAATAGCCTCATAAATTAATCGTGCTCGTTTTTCTACATATATATGTACAAAATTAAAATCGATATAAAGTCTTTTTAGATTACTTCACTATTGAATATACCGTAATGAACGAAGATATTTTATATTTAGGATACGGTACGCTTTAGCTTTATATATTATATATTATAGACTCTTTATAAATAAATATTTAAAATTGTAAATAAAAATTAAATATAGTAAGTTATTTTTATCCAATTATTATTTCAAGAAATATTTTCAGTAATAAATAATAAAATCGTCCTACACACAGAAATGCTTTCTAAATATCGCGTGATGTACGATCATATCTAAAATATATGTATGTGATCTATGTGGATCAGTACTGATTAAAATCTTACATAGATCATGCAGTTAATAATCTACTGCACTGTAAAAAAATATGTAATATATTACACAAAAATATGTAAAATTACATAAATAATAAGTGTACAATTACACGATAAATAATAGAAATGTTTACCTTTTCATTATTTATCATGTAATTTTACATTTATTATTTATGTAATTTTACATATTTTTGTGTAATATATTACATATTTTTTTACAGTGTGGTTTTTAGCACTATAATACATTACTATTGCACTATATTATGTTTGAAATTTATTCTCTGTATGCGTAAGCCTTTGTGAACGAATTAAATGACTCAGACGTGAATGTGGTCATGAATATTTCGCAATCGGATATGCTCTGCATGCTGATCGGATATATTTAAAGTTTGCGACATTTTATCAATCCTCTTTTTACTCAATTAAGCTGGATTAAAAAAAAAAGAAGAACTGATATCGTCGCAGACGCAATATTTGGAAAAAACCATTTGCATGTTTTATCACGTATAGCGCTGACTAAACAAACATTTCTTAAGCCAAATAAATTTGAAAATGTAAACAAGCATATGTGCAGACCGTGCAACGCCAGATGGGTTCGCTGCACTCTACAATTCGTCAATATTTTTGTATTGTCCCCACGAGAGACCCGTAGATCTCGCATGCAATTGTTGCATATACATCTGTCTTTCATTCTCATTCGTTGGGGATTGTATACGAAATTTCGGGTATTTGACAAAAATTTGTAACTATTGAGATTCGAACAAAATTCTTCAAATTCTACATAAATCGAATATTCGAAATTAATGTACAACCAAATACCGAAACCGCTGATAAAAAACTTTTTTTTTATTACGTTACTTTGCAATAATATTGTTATATATTATACAATAAATTGCATAATTGCATTATGTAATTATCTTCAATATCGCTATATACTGATATTACTAGATAATATGCAATGCTTTAAAGAAATGCTTTAAGAATTTTTTTTAATTGGACATTCATTTGTACATTTATTTGTACTTATTATTTTATGCAGCATAACTAATAATTTCTATTCTATTTTATTTTATAAAACAAAATTTTGCGGTTTACGTGTTGTAACATATATAAAAACATATAAATATTTCAATCAAAATTTAATTATATATAATTAAGTTGATTTTTTCTTGCCTTAGCAAAAATGTGAAATACGAATTATGTTTGATACATTAAAAATTTTGCATAAAATATAATTTTCTTTTTCGTTGATGGATATTGATAATAATACGATAGATTTTCGATCGATTCGAAACCGTTCTTGTAGTATTGCAACATTAATATTTTTGGAGCACTTAATAATCGAAATAATAAAAAAATAGCATTTTATAAATTAAATCTGTTGGATATTGTGATTAAATATATAAAATATGTAAAAACTTCATTATACATATATGTATGTATATGTGCTTACACTTACGTATAATTGAATTTAATCTGATAATTGTAATTGTAATATTTCTATCAAGATATTTATAATAAAATATTCAAAGATTTTATTAAAATTCGGCTTCAAAATCAAGAATCTATTATTGAAAATAAATAATTCTAGGGTACACCTTATATAAAAAAAGGTTATATAATATAACAACGATTCTCACACACCTTTCGATCGCAGGAATCTCAAAGATGTTCGATGCCGCCTTGACGTGAGACGTGGATAAAGTCAAATTGTCGAGAAGCACTTGAAATCATCACTGCGTATAACTCCGATTCCACCGTCGATGATAACGACAATAAATACAACACAATAACGCGGCACGCGCCCGCGTATTTACAATCCACGACTTTGCGCGCGTATTTACATTCCACGACTTCGTGCGAGCCTGTACCGACAATACCGAATCAAACAAACTCACGATTTGAAATTTACCACATAATCGAATATCGCGATCACGCTGTTACGTGCTCGGTTCTGTCCAAATTCCTGGAAGTAACACACTACTCTATTCTCACAACTCCATCACCAACACGCACGTCACTGCGTTCGACATAGTGTTACGTCACCGCAAGGTGAAGTTGAATTGCTCCAATGTTCACTCTTTACTTCGCGTCGGTTTCGCGATATTATTATATCTTACACCGTGGTTAGAGGTGTTTCGCGTCGAAATTCTGTGCGTAATAGGAATGCGTGATCGTTCTTTCTCTCCGCGAGTTTCGTCGCTGCTCCACTCCAGAAAAGATGGACCAGCGCGCGCCGGATATATATCGCGTTGCGTTTCTCACTGTGGAAAGGGGGGGAGGTAGAGGGGAGGAGGAAATGAACGGGACGGATGTGTGCGAAAATCAACCGATGAGCACTCGCGCGCGAGCGTGGCGCGATCGTCCCGCGAAAAAAAAACGAGTCGCGTACGCGCGATACCAGGCACAAACTGTTTGACGCCAAAAATACAAACGAAAGTGCCCGAGAGCTGCGTCTCGGCGGACGTCCACGCTCGCTCTGAAGTTGCCCGGCGGCTCGGAACCTGCGCGCCTCTACTCGGCGCGTCGCGCTCGCTTGATTGGCCCAGCTCCCGATTGGTCTACCCCCACCACCTGGCCGGTCCAGACCGGCGGGGATTCGCTTCAGATGAGAGATCCGCGAGGACCGCGAGATGCGCCTAGGGAGAGATACGTAAGGGTCTGTATCGAGTATCGGATGCGTTTGATTTTGGTACTGATAATGAGAGAGAAATCTCTGGACTCTCTCTCTCGGAAATTCTCTCATTATTTGATTACTTTCGATGTTCGCAAGCAATCGTATTTTTTCTCTCATGATTGTAACAGCGCTATCAAAAAGGATTTTATCAATATTGTAATATAATGTTGATATATTTTTATATTTATATTTGTTGAAAGAAAAGTATACCAATATTTTAAATTGATATTGTTTTCTTGTTTCAATATATGTTTGGCAATATTCATGATATAATATGGTGAGAATGAATAATTTCTTGTCAAAATAGATTGCAGCGCGCTAAATACCTTCGAGACCTTCTAGATATCGCGGTATTTCGAAATATGTAATATATATTCATGGAGGACTAGAGAAATGAATAATGAATGCAATTGGGGTAACAATACTTGATTAATAATTGATAGTATTGAATGATTGCAAGCTATAGAACGTAAGCATTATACATTATAATTTGATGCGTTTTTTGTTTTTTTGTAAAATATTCTGCAAATTGTTACGCGAAATATTATATATTTCATATAATATTTGTATACATATATTTTTTAAATGTGTATATGTATATATTAAATATATAAATGACCGGAAGAAATAAAAAAACCATCTTATAGACTGGTTTACTTCATAAAAATAAACAAAAATACGTTATACGGTTTTTATAATTGACAATAAAATTAAAAATTAATTAATCAATTAAGTGTTTTTAATTAAAAAGGAATCATTTTTATTGCTTCCTCATAGAAGAGAAGCTTTGTTTTTATGACTATATTTAAGAGTAAATCAAAATCAATTAAGTTGTAGTGTTTTAATCCAAAAAGACAACAATATTATTTTAATTAATAGTTAATATGATTTTCTTTAGCCTTAATAATTTTTGAAGTCTTCTTGATATACTTTCAAATAAATCTTTTAAATGTTATTAGTCCAGATTCTTTCATGCTAATTGCTGTGCTTCAAAATAGAGGAGTTCTTGTTAATTATTCTGTATTT